GCGGCCTACAGGAGGTGTGAAACCCCCTGCTGCTGTCTAGCACTGGCCGTGTGGAGCTCGCGCGCGGATCAATGAACACAGGTAAAATCTTTATGCTGACTTTAATCCGACCGTGCTGACTTTTATCGGACCGTGCTGACTTTAATCCAACCGTTCTGACTTTTAAACGACAATGCTGAGTATAACCCAACCGTGGTAAATTAAAGTGAATTTCAGTAAAAAGTCAGCATTGTTGGTTTATAGTCAGCATTGTACGAGTATAGTCAGCATGGTTGGGTTATACTACCATATTACGAGGATAGGCAGAATTTAGTAGTCACTAGTGGTGGGGCAGTCGCCAGGTACTGGCCGCAGGTCGGTGGTTTTTCTCCGGGCACTTCGGGTTTCCTCCATCATCAAAATCTGTCTCGTCATTAATTACTGTAGCTGTAGGATGTACAATGTACAACACATACAAACCAAACTAAAATAATGATATATGAAATATAATATAAATCGGTAAATAATATAAAATAATAATATCTGCAAATGATATTAAAATAAGAACACATGTAAATAGTATAAAATAAGAACACATGTAAATAGTATTGAATATCAAAATTAATATCTGTAAACTATGGTGGCATATTTCTACGATCTAATTAATTCAACGGTAGCAAGACTTGTCGAGACGGGTCGTTTTATTATGTTTTGTCGGCACTTTCTTTTTACGTAGGATGGCACAACTTGATAAAAGTGCGAAGATCGAGGCCTGTAATTATTTAGCATGGCCGGTCGAACAATTATTAAGATATGTCAATATGAAGTTTGCAGAAACTAGCGATAATAAAAATGCGATAATAAAAATGCGATAACACGAGTCCTTACAATAATTTCCACAAGTTGCACTGCCGTTAAATTACCTAAAATAACTGGACGGCAAATATATTCTTCTATAGTGAATACTTGATTTTACCCTGGATTGGTTGAAACTTTTGAAACGTTTCGAAAACACCAGATGTATTGTGTTTTCACCGTTCACATATTTTCTGCGTGCATGTGTTTCTAAGTGTCATGTTTTTCATTTCTATGTCTTTGTTTCAGGACGGTTTTGTGTTCACGATAGGGAAGTGTAAACGTGGAGGCTACAGTAAAGTATGACGCACATTCTCACCTCTAATTAACCGGCTATCTGCGTTATTTATACTAACCTCGACTCTGTATGGAGTGTCTGTGTACTGATATACCTCGTGATCATGAGGACGCGATATCACTCTGTGTATTCAGACTATCTATAAGCCGATAGCGAACTGACTATACTGTTGTGTACATGAACACTGTATCATAATGACAAAAGTTGCTATTAACATTTCACTCAATTCTCGAACGAATTAAACTAATTCGCACGGATTGAAAAATTAGAAAAATTCCCCAAAATGACATATACCCCAGTACGTTGCTCTGGAATACATGATTTATGAGTGCACAAGACTCCTGGGAAATACGTGTATTACCTGAAAGCCTATGCTGTAGAGTAGTCGAAATGTAGAATAAAGTAAGAACAGAATAATCACTTGTCTCCTCTAGCCAGGCTTCTTTTAAGGAATGAATTCAAACGTCGATTTACTCAGAACTTTCAGTTGACTCTTAAAACTCAGCAAAATCATATAACATCTTTCCCTTTTTGAAGGGTAAAAACACAAAAAATAGACATGTCTTTTCAAACCGGGAATCAAAACTACTTATTAACGAGTATAAACACATTATAAACTTGGATAGTTTCTCCGCGGTTTGCTTTTCGCCTTTTTTTATCCCACTGCGACCATGATGAAATAATCATTACAGCGAATATATATCAGCAGCATTATATTCATAGTATTCAAATGGCAAAGATAACATGAAAATGTAATTTATGTGCAAAGAGTGAAAGTTTGACTGGCCGAAATTCCAAATTTCCTAGTTTACAATACTCTTAAGTATTTTTAAAGTCCTGTGATTCACAATTATGATGTATTATGAAAATCTGTTTTATTTCACATAGTACCGATTCTACCGTTTTTTACGATCACAGATACAAATTAAATCTTCAAAACCAATGATCGTGTTGAACAGTGGATATCCTAATGTAGGTTATATATTGAACATTAATGTAGGTTATATATTGAACATTAATGTAGGTTATATATTAAACATTCACGTGACAATGCAGATGTTCTTATTAATTAGCTGAACGCATTATACTGCGATACATAAATAGTGTATCCATACATCCTGTGATAATGTATTGTATGATTATTATAACTTTTGTATATTTGATATATCTGTATTAATGTTGATGACGCTTGTTTATTAATGTAATCTTGGGTAAATAAACGATTTTATATATTTATTTATTGATTATCATCATTATAAAATGTATGTTCTGAGAAGGAAATAGAGAAATAAATGAAAGTGGAAATTCTCGCTTATTTTGATTTTCACTCCACCACTAATTCTCCACCGGAAATATGAATGCATGAATCCGTAGATGAACTATTAGATATACATTGCAACAATATTTCCAACGCATAAAAGGCAAACCACGAAGTCAAAACTCGAAAATATTTTTACAGTCGGTTTTTAACAGAGACCTCCATGGCCATCTCGTGAAATTTCCATTTTAATAGTTGTTAGTTAAAAGAGGGATATATCTGATGATATAACGTTAAACAGGCCATTTATAAATGAAATGTTCGCAGCATTTCATATTTAATTCTAGCCGCTGTATTGCCCCTAGCTTCATTTGTCCCTTATTAACAGCCACCAATATTTATTTATGTCGAATTTTCCTTATTCTTTAAAAATTCCTAATCTAATAATATAGGTTCCAGAGCAGTACATGTTGTTATCGTGGCTATCTAAGTCGTGTTGTTTTAATTTTGAATCCTAATTTTGACAACTACTGCGCAAGTAATAAAGAATTGTCAGAAACTCCAAAACACTTTTTTCTGTCACAATTTGGTCTATCAATCGTATTAATTCACCTCGGGAAATGTTTTAGGTGGCAAGTGTTTTATTGATATGAAAAAGTTAAACACATCTACGTTAACAACGCTGAGACAAAAGGGCCGGTTTCCAAAACGGCCCCTTCTCTGATTCAAATTTCCTGTTGGTGGTGCATTGCCCATGCCGTTGTGGTCACAAATCTATAAAGTATAAAGATTTAGGTCACTTGGTTTGTTTTTTATGGCTCCTCAAAGTTGTACCTTTCAGAAGCTGTCTAAGTGTTGATAAAATGTGCATGTTATGTAAAATATTAATGAAAATCTAATCAAATGATGGTCACCGTAAAGAATACATTCATGGCATGATTGTGACAAAAAATCATGTTTCCATCGCGCCATTTGGCTGTTTTATGGAAGAAACAATCTCAAAAATGCCATTTTCGATGATAACATTTTAGACACAAAAACTGTGTTTTTTAGAGAATACACCCTTTTATGGGCGTTGGATGCAAACCAATTTTTATCCTATTAAACAGTACGTAATATGCTATTGATGAGAGGAAAAATCATCAAAATGTAAGTGGTGGAACATTTTCAAATGTTGGGTTGAATTAGCCTATGGTTGAATTGCCGATTTTCGACTTTCTTTAGATAATTAACAAAAAAACGAGAGTATTTGCTCGGTATGTTGAGAATATGTACACAGATATGAAAAAAAGTGAGAGAAACACTTTTTCATAAAAAAAATCCAAGATGGCTACTTCACAAGTCCCCGTGGTTGAAGACATTGGCTGACAAATAGACAGAACAACAAACAAAACGTGTTCCTTATGATTTTGGTTGGTTTTCGCATTTACGGGAGTGTTCATAGCTACGGGCGATTGTATAATACCTATATTTATAAGTTTGGTTAGTCACATGGTAACGGGGATCTTTCATATCGAGCCCCAAACATACTTTCGACATATGCACTCCGTTGCCGCATGGAAAACTATTTCAAGTTTTGTCGGAATTTCTTTACCTGTGGTTGTAATGGTCGAGGGTTTTCCAGCGTCCTGTAATACCCAAGGTAGTACAAGATACTGGAGATGTGCGCACACATTCCCATCGTTCTCTCTCCAACTGGGCACTGGCAGTAGTAGTCCTTTATTGGGGCCTCAACATCGGGTGAAACGGTGAACCGTATCCAAACGTTATATTTCGTTTGGCTTTTGTGTCGAGAATGTATTTGACATCGGAGAAGGTCTGGGGAGTGCTGGTAAAGCCACACCTCATAGTCTCCGTCATCACTTAAATGTTCGGCGATGTAACCAGGAGCCAGAGATATCTGATACGTTCCACACGTAATGGTTCTCAAGTAATCAAGATCGAGACGGGGAAACAGTACGGAAGATGCATCCATCTTGACAAACTCGGACCTTGCCCGTCTAGATAGATCCGGATCTGTCTTGACTCTCTGAGCTAAACCATTCGGTGTTGTCAAACGGTCCTTCATACGTTCAGCCATTAGCCTATCTTTGGCATCTCTCTCTGGAGATCTCTGGTAGATCGGTCCTCTAATACCATTCAGACAGGCTGTGACGGTTCGAAGCAAAGCCTCGATGACATTGATAAAGCTGTTAGACACCAATTGCGTTCGGAAGAACGTCCAGTGTTTCAGACGACCATGATAGGATTCCACAATCCACCTCGATTTGGTGATAGTTCTGTCAAGATTTGCTTGGACGTCAGAATGTTGACTTTGACCGGGTTTCAGGTATGACGGCATGCTAGCATTGAGGCCAGAGGCTTCGAGAACTGGTAGGACATCTCTAAAACCTCGGTCAACGACAACGTTGTCGTCTGGTTGTAGCCAAGTAACTAGCTTGTCCATGACTTTTTTTGTAATTGTAGCATCATTTTCGCTGCCAGTGAATGGTCCTACTGTGTCCAGAATGTAGCCATCTGGTAAGGCGATGCTCATGAATTTGAGATAGTTTCTCTTCTTCTGGCCACAGTAGGACATTCTCTGGAGCTTGTGGTCGGAGCTTTTCTGGATATAAATATAGGTGCCATCTAATATGGCAGTGGCTTTATCTCCAAAAAATGCTTCTGAAAAGACAGTATTGTGCCCGAGCAACTGTTCTCTTGTCAAGTGATCCGGACCTAGAAATTGTGGGACTATCGATGTGTCTAATGCCTGTACTATGGAGTGGAAAGTTTTGGACACACTTGACTTGGAAATTCCAAAAAGAGAAGAACACTGACTCCAGGAAATGTCGGTTTTCAGTTTTACCCAGAACAGTAATAGAGCATCGTGTGTAGTCTTGGTATATATACCAGATGAAAGATATGGGGAACAGTGCGAGTGGATTTCGAGGAACTGATCTTTGGACCAACCTGTCCAGGCCATGCATGCCGAGTCATCAAGAGAAGAAAAGCTTATTGTAAACGCAGACTGGTTCTGTGAAAGGACGTGCGACACCTCTAGGAGGTCATTAATGATTTCGGACGATTTTGATGGTAACTGAGATTCCAAGGAACCTCTACCATCAAGGACAACCTCTGTAGACGGATCTAAGTCGTTACCAATAAGGTGAATGGAGCAGACGCGGGATGAGGTGGGACACCACAGTTTGTGTGAATAGATCAGGTGATGTCTTGCACGTTTTGGTAAGACTGATGATTTTGTTCCATTTCTTGCAAAGGTAACAAGACAGAGACAGCATTTTTTGTGTGAAGATGATCCATTCAAAAGATCATGAAGGGTCAGCAACGGCAGGATATGGGACGGGGAGTCGTCTTCTTCCTCTATTTCCTGGTTCTGCTCGGGTTCAGGTTCAGGCTGATTTTTGTTCCGAAGATACTTCATGTAGCACTTCTGGCAAATAAGTGCTTGTTCCTTTGCTGACATCAATCCTTGTTGCACCAGCGTATCTAGGAGCCATTTATATTGTGGACTATTTACATTGCGTGCACTTCTGTTCTTATTGCCACTACGTTTCTTGAAGTATACTTGACACCCTTCTCCAACACATTTACCCTCCATCTTGAAACAATAACGATTGGTTTATGAAGCGTCGATAAAGTAACAAAATAGCAAGCCACCGATGATTGCTGTAAACAGCTAATACTTAGTAGTTTGGTACAATTATGCGAAAATGTGTGATAAATAACGAACAACTAATTACACAAAATAACAAGACAATATAATAAATCACATTCAATACCTCCAAGAAGCGCAGAATTGATTGATTACTTAGAACAAAATAAAGTATTTCATATGGATAATCTATCTATTCGATGTGGCGTGGTCGGCAGGCACAAAGAAAGTGAGACAAGTCAGGGTCCCAACCCTGACAGAGCCACAACGCTTTGGAGATGGGACAATAAAACAAGGAAAGTGAGACAAGAATAGCTAGCGTCGAGTCAATGATTCCGTAAACGTATAGACAAAGACAAGAAGATACGGATAAATGTACAAGGCCACACGATCAGAAAATTCAGAAGAGGACAACTTGAGATAGAACAGTATTCATGTATCAGGGTGTCCTCAGTGTAAATCTGTATATCGATACTGTTTATTTAGTCGTCACACATCATTAAACTGTCATGAAAATATCCGCTCTGATATTCAATATAAAAGTTTGTATATAATCCGCTATATAATAGGGTTTCAGACAAGGTTGTTACTCATTTCCCCTTTTCTTTCAATTTACAACCACATTCAGGCGGCGATATGAGAACGTTCCACCACATGGAATTAGCTGATTTTTGGTACACATATGAAACAAGTAAAGCTCTATCCGATTTTCTGATGGAAATTTGCATCCAAAACTATATAACGGGAGAAAATTGCAATTTTATGGCATTTTCCTTCATAATTGTTTCTCTGCAAGTGCATTTTCATCAGAGAATTTTTTTTTTTTATGTTTTATGAATAAACACGATGTTTTGGAAATATTTATCAAAAGAAATTTATACTATGTTGCGAATTACAATTTCGAGATAACCTTCTTTTATTTACGAACTTATGTCTTTGATGCTGAAATTGACAACTTTATAAAAATACATTTTCACTGAAATTATGAAATCTGGGTGTCGGAAAGGTGTAAAATTATTCTTCGGAAAAGAAAAAAACAGTAGTTGAGCTAGATAAGAAATTATACTGGGGCAGGCTCCTATGGAGAATTAACATTACTGGAAACAGGCCCTTTTAATAATACTTCGTTTTTTGGTATGGTTCGGTTTTGAATGCGAGTGTTCGTAAAACTAACATTTAACCTGCCATAGGCATTAAGGTACCATATCTCGCATGAACGTCCATATTGTCTGGGCATGATATCAAAACGCTCCAATCTTCAAATCACAGCATTTCGACGTAGTTCAAAATCATTGTCAATGAAAGTGACGGAAGTTGTT